AAGGGCTGGACCCCACACAGTCCCAGGGATGAGAAGAGGGTCTGCTTCGCGGTTTGCAAGTACCACAAAGTTCACCACTACGGCTGAACCACTTAGTTTGCAGCTGTTATCAGCGTTCCCGAGGGCAGCAACACTCCAGAAAAGCCCCAGAGCTGCCTAGTCCACCCCATTCACACCATCTCTGACCACTGCTCTTCCTACCAGTTGGGCAACCAAAGTTACAGGTGAGCCTGCGTGAGCCCACCAGACCGTACGCTAAAAATAACAGACACTGAAAAAGGCACACGGGATGCACAGAAGACAAGCGAGGACGGTTGGGTATCAGTTTTGGGGAAACCCTCTACAAGTTGCCTTCTGGTCAGAAGATCCCCAACTCCTTGGAGGAGAGCATCTGAGCACAGACCCAGAGAGACATCCTACCTTCAGCAGTTAAACCAGAAATGTCTGCTGCTCTCTGCAGCCCTGGAGCAAGGTCACCGCTGACGGGGTGGAGACCAAAGTGAGCTAAACCCCCGGGTTTTAGATCATCAGAACGACCGTAACTTGGAGAGGTTATTTCGAAACATCAGGCGTGATATGGGAAGGCAGTCATCCCAAGGGGGGGCCGGTTCAACCACAGAGCAATCCAGCGTTGATTGATTCACTGCTCATACCTGAATCAAGGTTTCCTGTCACCTATTACTTAACTCGGATACACAAAACCTACAAGCTTGAACACGCCAAACTCTGTTTTTAAGACTGGTATGCTGCCGCAGCACCTCTGTGATCGGCCTCTAACACGCTTTTATCGATCTAGCTTGGAGTGTCAAACAGCGTTTCGGGCCCCCAAGTTATGAATACGGGTCTTAAAACTCCCCGTCTAACCCTGCAGGCAGGTAGCATCCACCAGCCAAGGTTTCTAGCGGTCGGGTATCCAGACACTGGGAAGCCCGTCTCACTCGCAGCGTGTCTCCTGCCAGCTGGGATTTCCAGGCTAGACATCTCCCGTTTCCACCGCCTCCAGGGCTCAGCCTGAAGCGACGTTCACGCAGCACTCCGGAAAGCGAGGACACGGCCTCGGTGCTCACCACCCCCGCCAGCAGAAACGATGAACCCACCAGCGCCGAGGAAGGCGGCTGCGAGACGGGCAGGGGCGATCCCGCCTGCAGGATCTTCGCGCCGTAATTCATCTCATGCTTCCCAGGTAAACGCCGGGGAAGCCAGGAAGGATGCCTGCACCTCCCCTTCTTCAAACACACAGGGATTCGGGGGAGGGAAGGAATTTGGCTGGCTTCCCTTCGCTACGCAAAGGAAGGGAGAACAGGGATGTCTTCCCGGAAGGACCAGAAAATAGCTGCGGCTCGAGTTAGACTGTTGGGCAGGATGGGGAAGTCCTCGTTAGGGCAATAAAAAGGTCTCAAGTACTTGGCCGGGGCGCCAGGAATACACCAACACGCCAGACCAGCTCAGAAGCAGCTTTTCACATCAGCGCGGTGGGAACGTTTTTGTTTATTTCTTCCTCGGTGTTAGCCAAGAAGGAAGGAGGTGGTGGCCCGTTCCCCCTCACCACGGATGTCCTCGGCTCCCTGCAATGGCAGAAGGCTTAAAATTGGTGACACCTACCTCTCCTGCTCCCTCCCACCAACCCGGGATGTTTGGTCTCACGTACAGGTTTTAATTTTGCTTTAGAGGAGGGATGACACAGCGAGACCTGACTCACGCAGGAGATGAAGAGGTTACGCTCTTGTCTACTCTTCTGAAGTCGGAGAACGCTTGTTTTCCATCCCAGGTCCAAATTAGTACTAATTATTCCATGCAAAATGGAGTTGCTTCAACAGGAAGGAATTAGGACAACAAATTATTCTGGAATAAAGAGGACTCGCTGCCTAAGCAAGCAATCTGTTTGCTCATGGAATAAAAGGGACGTTCTCCCACACACGTTTTGGGGAAAAAGCAGTACCCACTCCATTTTTAAAAAAATTTCTAACCTCCACGCCTGTTAAAGTAGCCACCAGGACTTCCTACGTGACCAACACGCCAAAACCGAACCCACACTCAGTTGTTTCGACTTCCACCATCAGAGCTGCAGCCACCATAAACACAGCAGTACCATATGTGTAACCGCAGCAACAGCGGGCTTGACGGCCACGGCCGATGCTTTCAGTTACGTGAGTTTTGACTCGGGGCAGGGAGGAAAGGGAGACGCAGGCACGCGCCCTCCCGCAGCCTAAAGCGGGGTTTCCCAAGACGAAGACACAACCCTCAAATTTAGACGAACCCCGGCAGTCCCACCGGAGTCACGACGAGACCTCCACCTCCGCTTCCCGACCTCAAACCGGCTCAACACCGACCTGCAGGCCACGCACAGCCCCGCCGACTGCAGTCGTCCAGCGCACGGTCAGATTTAGTCCCGCAGGACACGCGGAGGTGGAGATGGATTATTTGTGCGCCCTGCCGTGTCCCCCACCATCACCTCCTCCCTGCACGAACACAGCAGCACCCAACCCCGAGGGGCGGCCCCCGCCTCGCTGTATTACAAAACACCCTACGCTGAAAGAAAAAAAAACAACCCAAACCCCACACGGGTCAATGTGGGGCAGACGTGGGAAGCGGCACAGCCGTCACAAGGGTTTTCAGAGCCACGCTGGAGGCACGGGTGAAATTCAAGTTCTCCTGAAGGCATTAGCCAGAGAAAAGCACGAACGAGCCAGCTCTGGACTCGTGGCTGGGCAGATGTATGTGACAGTGACAACGTCCGCCGAGTCCAAGACACGCTTCCCCACGAGCTTTGGCTACAAACATACGTTTCGAGCACTGCCAGGTCCTACGGCTTACGGTACAGCCACATGAGTGGTATCAGAGAAAAAGGGTTTTCCAGCGTTTTTTTTGTGAGTTTAATGAGAAGAAAGCACTTGTGATGAAAGCCACTCCACCCGCTTGCAAAAGCTAGAGACATCAGGAAGAACAGGATCAGGCCAGCCTCTAGCGAAACCCAGGACTGGCTGCTCCCGAGGAAGGTGCAAGAAATCATTCTGGACAGTTCGGGAATCGCTTGCTTATTGGTAAATCTCTTCCTCAGCCCTTCAGATAGTGATTAAGCACAATGGTCCACAGCCCATATATTAAATATTAATCCTTCCTAATGTGACTGCCGATGTTCCGGTTATCCGAATCGGATAACCACACCACCCCCCCCAGTCCATTCCTTTTCCACCCCAAACCGCGTAAACACAACGTACAAAACCCAGCAGTACCCCGCGATCCAGCTAGAGGAGAGCTGGCGATACTCTCCTCGGCCTCTGAGCCTGGAAGCAAAACAGCTGGATCTCACCAAAAGCAGGAGGGACAGAGTTCAGCGCAAAAAAAAGAATCAGCCCACTGCTATAAACGCGGACATTTCCTACCTCTTCGCTCTAGCGTTTCTTCCTGTCTGCAGGCTTCGGAGATGCTTACGGACCTGGTCGCATTCAAATGATTTCCACGGTGACAGGAAAGCCTGGGGATTTGTTTCATTTCAAGAGGAAAACGCGATTTGTGAATGAGACCAGAAAGCAGCCGCGAAGGCTGACCTCCTTCCCACCTAACACCAAGAATAAAGCACCAGCCAGCAGCTTGTGTGTCTGCTGTACTACTCGTGACGCTATAGAAGCGTACGGGCGCTCTGTTCTACCCGAAATAACCCACCCCACGCTCCCCAATGTTTCCAGGCGTCACGCAGACCACGACCACGCAACCGTGGCTCAGCACTGCCTTACCCAAAGCGGTTACGGCAGAGCCGCGGGCCGAGCACGGCAGAGGTCGCGCACCCTGCGCCCTTCCCGCCGGATCGGGATCCGCCGTCCTGCTGCAAACACAGGGGGCTGGAGGAGAGCAGATGTAGGTCGGCGGCGGGAGGAGACGGGGAGAGAGGGAATTCAAACTGCTCTTCCACAAGGATGTTGATGTTGGACTTGGACCAATATCACGGATCCGCACAAAGCATCAGTTATTTGAGAGTGACATTTCAGAAAAGCAGAGCTATGTATCCTATTAGCTTGAAAACAATACAGCCGCACCAACGCCAGGACAGCAATGCCCCTGGAAACGGGAAACATCTATTTTCAGCACCTCCCAGTATCCCCCCACTGCTTTAATAAACCGTTTTTATAAAGATCGGGCAAATGCCCTGGAGCTCCCCACAGATACCCACCCCAAAAAGCTCTCCAACAGGGATGGAGAGGAACACGTGGCAGGGGAACGTGGCAGCGCCCACTTTCTGCCCGGCACAGACCCCCAGGTCCCAGCAAAGCTGTGGTCCGTGCCCCGCCAAAACGTCCTGGCTCTTCACCTTGGCCCCAGCAGAAGTCACTGGGGGAGCTGGCAGCGCCGTGACCATCCCCGGGGTCCCCGTTCCTCGTCCCAGAGCCCCGCATCGAGCTGGTTTCCCGACCTCGCCGTGGGAATAACGGCGTGAGTTTGCACCTGATTCTTGACGGAGAGAGACATAAATCCTCCTTGCAAACCCGGCAGCCCCCTGCATCGGCCGCAGCCACCCCATGCACCTCCTTCCCTGCCATCGGCCGCTGCAGCAACAGGAATTAAAGTAAAGAAGGCTGAAACACTCCTGCTGGGGCTGCAGTTTTATTTGCCTGCACCCCTTTCATTTCTAGAAGTCTTTGTACAGGAGAGGAAAAATCCCTAAGTATCTTCAAAGCATCCTGCACGCTCCCAGCAAGCTCCCCCCCAGCCACAGACAGGCAGAGAAGGGATGACTAATTTTTTTAGCGTAATACGCTGCGGAGAGCGCCCTGCGAACAAGCGAAGTAAACTCCTGAGGCTCCTGAGGCAAGGACCCTGCCGCTCCTTGCGAAACTTCCCAGCTGGAACCTCGCAGCTGAAAAGCCAGAAAACACCGTTTTTCCCTCCTCCAACAAACAGAGGCTGGGATTCCTTTCACAAGAGTATTTGGATTTTAATGTCAGTCCATATTTAGCAGGAGGGAAAAAAGCCTCCCTTCCTTCCTGTCACATTTTCCACCCTTGATGACATCCAAGATCAGAAATAAGCAAGCGCTGGCCGAGGAGGGAGGACGCATCGACCCGAGCGTGGGAGAGCCGGGAGCGTGGCAGCCCGTACGTTCCCATTCGGGATGCGCGGAGGCACGGGCGAGGAGGGGACGCGGCCCTCGGACCTCACCGCGACGAGGGGCGTCCCCTCCAACGCTCCCGGC